AACTAGGAGGGCCACAAGCGCAGAAACGAGTCCAGCAGCCATGGAACCAGCAGCCAGGGTGGGGCGAGCAGCAACAGCCCCAGTGGGGGCCACAACAGCCTGTATTTGCACCACCCTTCAGAGCAACCTTCGATGGGGACCCAGAGAAGCTGATTTTTTTTCTGAACCAAGTGCATTCTCACTTGAATCGCTGGGCCTACCTCTATTCGGACCCAGGTGCCATGGTCGATGTTATTGCATCCAACCTAGAGGGAGAAGCATCTGAATGGCTGAATAATTTATATAGTGAGCAAGCCCCAGAACTGGAAGATTCCCACCTTTTTCTCCTAGGTCTGAGAGAACGATTTGAGGACCCATCCATTGGCCTCAAAGCAGCAGGACAGATCCACAAAATAAAACAAGCAGGCAGGCCTGCCCTGGAGTACGTGCGAGAGTTCTGCAAGACAGCAGGTCGAATAGAGGGGTGGCCTGAGCAGTCCCTAATCCATCACTTCATTGAGGGATTAGACTATCACCTCTCTCAGGCCTGCATCTATCGAGAAGTACCTGATCAGCTACAGGAGTGGTGCCAGATAGCGATGAAGCTAGACGTTAAGCTCTCTCGCTATAAGAAGCCTCCCTCTCCTGAAATTGAACTGAAGCCAGAATGACCCAGATGACAACCACCCCCCTGGAGACCCCTAACAACTACGTCTACCGAAAGACCCAGACCACTTGCAGGGCCGCCGCTCGCGTGCTTCCGATGCGGACAACAGGGACATCGAGCAGCAAACTGCCCAGTTCCTTACCCCCAACAGCACAGCAGACCGAGACCCGCAGCGAAGAAGAAATCTGATCAGCAGCCACCGAGAGGAAAATCCAATTGGATCAAACAAGAACTGGCTGCCCAAGTCGCATCCCCTACACAGGAGGACGCCTCGACTAAGGCTGGATCCTTCCCCACTCTACCCTCCCTCAACAGCGATGACGAAGGGGAGAATGACCCAATGGTGAGTCGACAAATCCCGCCTTTTTTGCTAGCCGCCAAACTTATAATC